TACATGCAACGGAACTGCGATCGGGAGGGTCACATTTTTTCACCCATTTCAACTTCTAACTTGAAAATAAAATATTATTTTGTAGCTTGCGTGCTGCTGTTTCAGCGTGCGATTGTTGTGTTATTGAAATAAAAGAAAAGCATCTGCTGTGACAATGTCTCCACATGTTTTCCGTGTAATTTAATTTTATTCCGTTGCTCCCGCCATTGCATTCAAGTATTTAATGTTTGAATTGAATTTTTATTCACTGTTTCATTGAGTATATTCATATTGGTGACTATAACTGACAAATAATGGAAGCGATCACTAATGAAAAATACTTGTTCGTGTGCTGTGCGAGTTTCGCGTATTTTAAATGCTGATTGTTGACTTTTTGAAGCTTTGACGAAGTCAAAACATCATCTACGAGCAGAATAAACATACAATTCTTTTCTTCGAATGACAAATGTAGACCGAAACAAAAATCAACAAATTGGGGGCGTACAATATATGCACATGTGTTTATATGTCATCCAAATAAGAATTCGTAGGTGGAATTGCCTCACAAGCAGACACAATATTTATGTTGAGTTGAATATTGTACTTCTGTTTTATGTATGTTCCAAATGCCATTGACGTCGTTTTTTCTGCTGGCATTGACGTGGTTTTTTTTTTTGATGAAAAATCTAAAAGAAAAATACATCAAATATCTGACTCCTAAATTTCGTATTTTTCTCGCAAAAGTTTGATGGATTTACATTAATTTCGCCATTTTTGCAAAATTCTCAACTTGAGAATGTCAATTGAATTGCGCTTTTCCAAACTGAATATCATAACTCATAAAAACGTTGTCGAAATCATATGTTTATCATAAATAATTTCGTCGTAATAAGAATAATTGACGATGCAGTAAGTTGAGTACCTATTCACTGTATTAAGTGAAATCATATTTACCAATCGAAATCTATCATCATTAAATCGGATTTGATGTAAAAAAAAATAATGGTTAAAATATGATGTACAAACGCATGACGATTTGCGTGTGTTTTTGTTGAATTTATATATGTTTTTAATGAATAAATAATGGCATATCGAGACAAATCAAAATATGTTCATCTCATGCATATAACGTGCATTGATTCATGGTAAAAGCTTTGCATTCAAATGCATTGCAATGTTAACATGCACCAATAAACTGTATGTAAATGACTGAAATACGTCAAATAAACACAAACATGAGTCTCTGCACGAATGCATTCACAACATCGAACGAAAAACATGGCTATACAGTGTACAGTGGAAATGGTGGTATTATGTTGTGCTGCTGGGTGTTATTTTAACACTCATGTCATGTTTGATTACTATCATTTTTTTCCCTATCAGATATGTTTTTGATGATACCGAAGAATGAGCAGGATCAAATCGAATGTAAATCGTCATTTAATTGAAGTATTACGGAAATGTGTAGCAAATATTCATAAAGGAGATTTGTTTATGTGCTGAAGAATTCAAGTATTGCAGTGCATTCAACAGAATTTCTAATTTATGTAAACAAAATAGAAACTTAGACACAAAATGGATGCAAACCAAATATTTTGAAGCAGTTGATGTTGTTCATCGGGAAAATGTCCATTGAAATTTATTGGATTGTCTACTCGAATTAATTATTGTATATTGATTCCAGTACATGGTTGCTAAACTGATGAAAATGGCAGTAAATCTGAAGCGTCGTCTTTTTTCACTATGCAGTTCAATGTGAAAATCAAATTCTGCCTTCGCCATCCATTTCACCTGTATAAACAGACACTTGTCAGTGATTGCGTCATTCATTGTTTTTGGTGTTTGTTATAGAACAGCATCAATACATATAGCTCTTAGTTAAGACGGCTCAACAGATCATTCTCGAAACTATGTACTAAAGTTCTGTTCAATGCTTATTCATTTGACTTCGTGTCAAACTGTGTTCTAGCCGAATAGAAAAGGAATACCAAAAGACTTCGAACGATTGAAAGTTAATTGAAATACGTAAACTATTTGCAGAGAAACAACAACAACAACACAACGAATATTGATACAGGAGCTGGGGAATTTGAAATGTGCTCGCAGCAGAATTAACTATTTTCTTCTCAGAATCTGTTTGGAACAGAATTTAATCGCAACAAGTTTTACAATCTTGAAATTTGTAATTAAGACTGTATATCGTGAAATATGTTCCAATCTTTGATTGAAATTTTCCCGCTGTGTAAGTCAATATGCATTCCAGAGCTAGTAATCAATTCTGATATATACGCATGGATGCGCATATGATAACAATTTGTTGTGATAGGCAAAGTATCAACATGTAATATGAAAAAAATTGTTTCGTTCGTTGTTTAATTAAGCACAAATTGCTGTGTGATATGTCAACAAAATTGCTATCAATGTAAATTATGTAATATGTTCCTTTGATTAAACAAAACCTCCACCGCCGGGCGATTCGAAATTAAAGCGATTCGATTGCCTGCATTATCTGGAGTGATTGATTGCTTTGGGAAGAATGAATATTATATGTGTTTGTATTCATATTTGTTTTCCATGTCTTACGGTTGAGCGAGAGGATGTTTAATACTGCAAATAAGTGGTAACAGGTGCAATTGCTCAACGTACTTATCACAAGTTTTGGTATAAGTGATTAGCTCAGCACTTAGCCAACTCAATTTGAGATTGATAGACAAGCGCTTTCGATACGATTTCAGTTACGTGTCTTTTTGGAGAAGAGTTTTACAGTATTTCATCAGCCACATAGCTAGCTTTTATCGTAAATTATCTCGTTCAATCTGCGAACATCTATTTTTCTTAGCTCTTCAACTAAATGGAATTTAATTTCAGTTTAAAAGCAACACTCTCAAGTCACTCATGATGCCGAATCGAATCACTAAATTATTCAGATTGTTATAAATGAGCCTCATAATCATCATCAACGCATATCCTCAACGAAAGCAAAACAAAACCAATAATAATAAACAAACCAAATAAACAAAATAAAAAACGATGAAAATTTTTACGAATTTATTCGATTTCACTTCAAAAAATCGGTAAGGATTTTTGCATTCAAGTGAATTCGTAGTGTATTAGTTTTGAAATGTGGATAAAAAGAAGCAACCATAGATTCTCGACATTTGGATCAAATTAGCGCAACTGTTTCTTTTTACTGATATACATATAGTTAAATGTCTATACATTCATAAAATATACATAGTGAGCATGTTCTTAGCACCGACTCATTCAATAACACATACATATATCTAGCATTTATATCTATAACAATACACAAAAATGTTTTTGTCTTCATTTTGCATTGCCCCATGATGATACAACACAAAACCTTAAATGTCAAACACAGCATTACATCGCAGTTTTGGTCGTTCTCCTCCTACCTCACGATCAAAATCAGATTTATGCGTATTTATTCCCTTTTGTTACGTGCAAGGTAAACCGATTATTGTGCTTAGATTTTTACATAGCGATAGTTGTAAACCGTAATTCAGCCCATCGAACTCACAGGCAAATCGAATCATTGATAATGTAAATGTGGCAGAAAAAAGTCAACAATGACCATTTTATGGACACGGATAAAATGCGAGGGAGTTTGTTTTTCTGTCTTGTGTTTTTGTATGGCATTTGGCTTCCATCAAACCATTGAATTGCAAATGTTCGACTAATGACGTACGTGTAGACCGATTAAAACACTCTCGTTGCATAGTTCATAAAATAAAGTGCATTAAATGTATGACCATTGCGCCCACAGAGCTTATTGAAACATGATAAAATCCTGCTCTAAATGGAATAAAAAGAAAGTATAACTAACGAACATCAAATCATGGTATGCTTTGCATTTTAGTCATTTCGATAGGAAGTATACAACGGAATGGAACGGCACACAAAAGAAATGAATTGAAAAGAAATAAAGAAATGTCAATCTATAAAATCGCTGCATGAATATGCGACTCAGTCTTTTGTTCGCGTCGACATTGAGTGGAACAAAGAATATATCATTATTATTTCCGCGTTGAACAACACAAAATCCAATTGGCTTATGGCGTATGTTGTGTTGCTGGTATCGTGTCAAAGTCCTTGACGTTGCTGTCACAAGTGATGTTTGAGGTAACATTTTGAAAGGAAAAAAAATATGATAGATTTTAACTGATCAATACACAGAATGAAGAACGTGAAAATGGAACCAAAGAACAACATCGTTACGCTTCCTTTCCACTTCACTGACTCCTTTTTGTCGGTATAAGGGAACAAACAGCGGGGGAAAAAAGACTTGTGAATTTTGGTGAAAATGAAACAATGCCAAAATTAATTCAAATGAGATTTTTCAGCGTTTGATCCGGCAGGTTTCTTTCTTCTCTGCAATGATAATATTCACAAATACACACACATATAGACAGACACATGCATGAATAATTCGGTTGTTGTGTGATGGATAAATTCATGCTTGGCTTTTTAGATTATAAATTGTCGAATGGCATGTGCATCGTTCAAGTTGAGCGACTTCGAGTAGAGCATATTCTCTCATTTTATGTATGAAATTGAAATGTGTACTTTTTTTTGTTATCGTTATCGCATCAAATCGAGTCCATTAAACTCTTTCGATGGTAAATGCATTCATGTGTAGTTTGCCATTGTGGAATTACATCAATCTTAATCATACATGATTTTGATTTTCGTGCGCTCTGGCCACACATTAGTGTTTAAAATAAAAAAATGTTTTTATGGCTTCAAATTTCGTATTCATTTTATTTGGCTACTATTTTTGTTGATTATTTTGTTGTGACAAAACAAAAGCATTCAGTTTACTAATATGCCTGCTGTAAAGTCCTTAGTTCAACACCAATTATTATTACTTAATGCCCAATTGCATAGAACTTGTTGGATTTTCGCTCTAGCAGTTCGTTCAATTTAATTGTCTATAATCATATGAGAATCAGTCCTTTTTCATTCCATCATTAATCATAATGTTGTTTTTGATTTTACAGAATGTTGGGTGGTGTGGCTGGTCGACATATGTCGACGAGACGAAGAGGATCGTCGCCTGCAGTTCGCATTGGAAACAATCTAACACTTTCATTGGATGAAGCCAATGGCGCGCCAAAGCTACCGCCTCGAAGACGACGGTAATATAAAAAAAATATATTATTTAGTTAAAATTTAATTTTCATCATTTACAAAGAAAGTACCGTTACCCCATTCAGTTATTGTTCTTAACAAAGAAAATAAATAAATTCATTTTTTCTCATTTTAGCGCCGTTACAACAATGGACCACAAAAGCTGTGCCCTTATACAAACGAGACTGAAACTAGGTGATATAATGTAAGTAGAGTGCAGATTTCTTCTATTTTTACAATGTGCAATGCAACTCAAAACAAACAATCTCGAACATCTCGAAACATTTCAACAGAAAGTTGAGAAGCGTGCCATCTGTAGAGTGACCGACGCAACTTTTGCTGAATGTGCTTTTTGCTCATCACATTTTTTCGTTTTCAAGCATTGCGCTGTATCGTTCATCTCGAACTACCCCTCCGAACAAAAAAGCACCGAAGCCAATGTTTATATTTACGTTTCAAAAATAGACGACGCATTCAATTGAGGTAAACAAAATGTGCAAATCACAAGCCTCAATTCAAATTATTTAGATAAATCTTTGGTGCATTTTTTATTGTTGTCTCGATGCAAGTTCTCATGTGAGGAAAAGTAAATAAATAATAAAAGTTTGATAAAGTGAAAGTCGTTTTATGTTGAACAGTGCGCATGTGCCGAATATGTCAGAAAGTGTTAAAAGCATCGCATGTTTTATTAATTTATAAATTCATCGGCAATACAACGCCAATTTCATGAGATAAGCTTACATTTTTTCCTTTCTCAATTAAGTGACATGAAACATTCAAAAGGCATAAAATGTTGAAACACTCGTCCATGTGCGCCCATAAGAATAATTGCTTTCGAAACGAAAGAAAAAAACATTTTGCACCATGTAAAACTTGATGATTCAAAAGTTGCTCACAGCCGCCTATGCGTTTCATATCAAGTTTTTGTGAAAACAGGAAATCCACTCTCATCAGCCTTTGTTATGCATAAATAAACGCCACACCAAATAAATGATAAACGCCTCGCTGTTGCTGACATGCATCATGGGATATGTGCCGAACATTGTTCATTAGTTCAGATTGTAAACTTTAGACTTCAAGCAAAATTTGAACGCTGCAACTGACAAAAATGACACAATACGAAAAACCGTTCGAACCAAGTACAATCTATATAAATGTGTATGTCATAGAACAGTTGTGATTTCCTTTAACTCGGTACACTTGTGGATGAAGTGTCTCTGTGATAAAGCATTTCACCGCAATCTAAATAGAATGTGCGTTCATGTGAAATGCACAACAGAACATCTTCGTCGTATCGATAAAACGCGTCACAGTAACACAAAGCCTCACATATACAATTACACTCGCACAGATGTATTTAATGAATGGAGCTTACACTTTTGTGGCTCTCTTTTGCTCAAGCAAACACAAGAGATGGATCAAACGCATGGATGAAAGTGAATGAAGGAGTGGGCAAAGTTTATCGACTGCAAATGTACTGCCACTGACTGTGGATAGTTGTCAAAGCGCGCACCAAATGCCATTCAATTTCTTTATCAAAACCACTAGCGCCAACGAATACATAACAAATACAGCTGGCGACCAAAATATAAACCAAAATATTCCCTCTTCGTGGAATCATGCTCATTTGCTCAACGCTTTTTCACTCTCATGACAGGCAGGTGTGTATGTGTGCCTGTGCGTTTGCGTTCCGCATTCGCATAGTAAATTTTTCACAAAACTCACTCCGATCCAGTGAAAATTCATTTTAGTCCGTGCAGTGGAAAAGTAGCTAGAACTTTGAACCGTCGTCGTAATAGGCAAAAAAAATAAGCAAGAGAAAAAAATTTAACTCTGAACCAATAAAAAAAGTTTAAGAATATTTTATCATTATCAAATAATAATTGTCTATATATCGATGAAAAGTGTGAGATAAATGTGATTGCGTGAAATTTTTGATGGTCTACTGCGGACTAAAAAAGAATATCAGAACTGTCGTGTAATTTGCCTCTGGAGAAAAAAAAAAGTGAAAATTTTAATATTATCGTTTTTTTTTTGTCTTCGCTGCATTTAATGCAATTTTTTACAATTTTCATCGCAGTGGTGCTGTTTTTATTTCGGCGTGAAATTTGTGTTTTCAATTCTCAGTTTTACGTTAAATGTTACGTTGAGCTTTCGTGAATTTTATGTGTTTTTATATCCATTGCTTTTGTATTTGGGTTGGAAAATAAGAGCGACGATTATTGGAGTGAGGAGTATTCAGATTTTGACCACATATTGGTGGTGTTCAAGTTCTATTTTCGGTTTTTGAAAACAAAACGCAATCTTCGCTAGTGGTTCGAGAAAATTTGTGTCGAAAATGCAAATGGGAATTTTTCACCAGAGACAAATGAGTACGGTTTCTTTGGAGTAACCAATATGGCCAAGTGGTCGTCAACCCAGAGCGTCAAATTGGAACTAACGACGGTGGGTTTAGTGAAAATATACTCTCTTTTTGTTGTTTTTCTTTTGTTTTCACTCCATTAAATTTAGTATGTGAATAATCACTTTCGGTTCGACTTATCAATTTAATCAACCACTCGATCCAAACTGAATAAATATATGCGAATTACGTAAATATTAATATCGCCGCTTAGACATTCAGAACCAACAAACGCACGAATGCCGTGTAATTTGGTATACTTTTCTGTCTCTTTCCTTCTCGCTGTGTATGTTTCTTTTCAGAAAGCAACTCAAATGTGGTGTAGAAATTGAGTTTGACGTTCGATTGAGAGAGAAAAAAATACGTACAATAGGATAAAAATATGCAGCTTTTTAGCCTCGTTGCGTTGTCAAATTGAAAATGAATGATTCACCCAAAATGTGAATGATTCTGCATATCATTAAATGAAACACTACACTCATGGATATTCTAAATGGAATCGAATTGTGTGAAAGCGGCCAAAATATTCAACTGTTTGAATAAGGAAAAAACAAAGAAAAAATCGTGTTTGCTCGATTGTATTCGATATTGAATGTGTGCCAACAATTGGTATTCGCTCAAAATTCTATGGTCGCTATTAAAATTTAATTTATTCAATTGATTTTTACATTACTTTGTGGCACATTCCAAGTCCTCGTCGGTTCATAAAGTGTCATCTCGCCTTTTGCAAGAAAGTCACATTTTATATATATATAGATGTTCTCATGATCAAAGTCAATTTGGAAAAAGAACGAAAATTTAATGTGCGCAGCACAATAATAATTCAAAGAAGTCTATCGACATAATTTGATCATCGAACCCGAATAATCGACGGCATGAAAATCGAACGGAAAATAGACAATGAATATCGTAATAAAAGTTTATCGAACGCAAAACGCCACCGAATTTCATTACATCTACATGCAAGGAGAATGAATAAAAAGAATGAACGGTTTCCAAATTGTGTGTCTCTGTATTTTCTCTCTGCTGATTTCGGTGGTGGCGTTGTATTGGTATTTGGATAAACTTTATCGTGTATGAACCCGAAAAATACAAGCATAACCAACGAACAAAAAAAAAATTGAGAAAAAGCGACGAGGTGAGACTCGTTTATGAAATCGAAATGTGATACAAACCGTACGTAGATAAGCAGAAAGTTGTGTGTTGTGGTATGGTATAAAAGGCAAACGATGAGCGCAAAGCGAAAAAAATCTCCATTTTATGTATAGCATCTGGTGTATGTATGTGTTTTGTGTGCGAGTATATGTGTATGTGTGCACTGAAGTTGATATAAAATATTTGTACAGAGTTTGTTCTATATATGAGCATAAATAGAACGTGCTTAGACAGCAGAAGCACACAGGACAGCGCTCATACCGTTGACTCACATTTCATTCTTTTGCTTTTTTGTTCGATACAAACCAACAACTTCAGCAGAACACTGAACACTCGATGGAATGTTGCGCACTATACGCATAAATGTGCCACACGCACACATTCACTCGCTCCAGCAGTTATTGACATTCACAACATTGATTACAGTACGGTTGAGTTATAGACACTCACACAGGCTCATATACATTAGCGTGTAGCAGAGAAAAGCACACCAACGTGGCAAAAACAACGAGATATTTATATATATACGCAACGTTATACGGAATTCTTATTGATCTTGTTGAAGCCAAATTTGTCCGGTGAAGACACACGGCTATTTTATTTTTTTGAATTTTGTAGTTGAGTGATATTTTACTTCTAATTCTCAACAAGACATCATTAATTACTGACATTTGAAATATATAAATCGCCTAAACAAAATTTGATTTTCTTTTTGTTCGTAACACATCCATGGCAGGAGTTGAGTCATAAGTGTGTGGGATGGTATTGTTGTGTGAAAGGGGGCCAAAAACTCAATAATGACGGCATATAATACACACATATACATACATGCTGTCATAAGCCGAAGAAAAGAACTTTTAACGCAGTATAAATGTTGCCATTTTGTTTCTTTTTTTTTCTCTCTAATTTTTACACTTTCACACATTCTGAATGGGTCGTCGTTCGTACATCATGTCAATATGTTTTGTCTTTGCTTTTGCCCTTTGATTGTGTCGTACAGTATGGCCTAAAAGCACTCTTAGTCGTTGGTTCGTAGAAAGATTCTTTTCACTATAATGTTTCGAGCACATTTTCGTCGAAAGCGTTTTTTTTTTTTTCATTTGCTGCGAAACGATTGTTGTATCATAAGCGATTCAAGTTGTTGACGAAATGGAAAATATCGTGCCAACAACAATAAGCAAAAGCGAGCACAAAGGAATGTGTGTCAACAATATTTTCCCATTCACGCGTGATGGAAAATCGCAAATATTTACGTATAATGTTTGTATGCAGTTTATTTCGTAGCTTTTGTGTCACATTACCCAATTGAATTTCCGTCGTTTGTTAGACAAGCCACTATCCCCAATAATAAGCCACAAAACATTTATCGACAATGATTTTGCCTCGTGTCCATAATTTTGGTCAGTGGAAAAGCAAAAAAAAAACAAATATTCAAAAAGTTGATATGAGTTTGCGCTGTACGTTTGCTACGAAAATAATATTTGGCATTATTATTTTTATGCAAACGCCGAACATAAAACCAAGAAAAAACAAAAGAGCCAAACACACAAGTAAACACGACGTATTCCGATAAGGTGAAAGAAAACGCAAAAATATGAATCGAATAGTCATTATGCGAAAACCGGTGGATATGCTATAATAAAAACGCTACAAAGGCCAACGTTCTCCACTTTTCGGAGTAACGCGAGTCTATGAAATATTCACATCCATACAATACGATAATATACACAATCCTTCATTGCATATTTCTATTTTGTGATTGTCTCCGTATTCGTTTCTAGAGTATCGAACTTTTTTGTGTAACAGTTAGCCGCTTCACAATACATCAGGTCTCTGGCCGCACAGCGCGCCTTATGTATAATTCGTTTCGTTTTATGTCTGTGCTATTCGAGTATATTAAATATTGTGTTTAAATATAGAATTGATTGTTACACAACTATCGAAAACGGAACCGCACAAAGTGCTCTTCAAATGCCTTTGTCATGTAATTTTTTCGGTATACCAACCCACAAAAAAGATACAAAGTTTTTTTTTTGGTTAACACGAAGCTTTATTGTTACGATGTCTCGAATAGAATGAGGCACGAAGCCAAAATTCAACATAAAAGTCAAGGTAAATGACATATTTTGAAATCTGACGCACTTTCTCCGATTATTCGAAGCAACACCATCAATATTTTTTTTGAAAAATTCGCCTCCTTAAAAATTAATTAACGTACTTTAAATTGACATCCGATCGAAAAATGTAGGAAATGTGTAGTCACACATATCGTTACGTAATAGATAATATCATACAATTTCCCGTATTTTATTCGACGAAAATATTCATTCAAAACACGGGCGAAAATCAATCATATCGGATCCTGTATGTTTTTTTTTCTGGATTGTACGTTTTCAATTGAACATATTTTGTATATGGCTTTCCACGGATGTTTCGACACACTGTTGTTTGAAGACACACAGACAGTTTGAAGTTTTCGATTTTCCATCATTTACTCGATATTTCGTAGCAGCAATAATTCATGAAACCAAATTCATTTTTGAGTGATCAATCAATTGGAAAGCTTACAAACTCTTCAAAGATTATTTGATGTGTTTTCGACAGGTTTATATCGAACAGCGATCGAATATTGTCAGCAAAATCGTGAAACACATAATAAGCCATCTGAAGTGGAATATTTGAATTTACAATTTTTCTGCAAACCAACTACATCAATTTGTGCATATTTTTGTCCATTTTTATTACACTTTTTTTCACAATGCTGATCCAAGTGGATACTTTGCATGAATTGGGTCGTGAAAAACCATTGTTATATATTACAAGTGTGTTTTGGTTTACCACTGAAAATTGAAAAATCGTTTTTAACTCGACGGGAATTCTGTCCTGTTCACTTCGTGCAACACAACACACTTTATTAGCGCTCTCGACATTTTCCGTTGAAAGTTTGTTCGCCTGTTAAACTATTGTTGGCTTGTGGTAAAACTTAATTAACTGTAACAAGCGTTCGTTTTACTTTTTGCAAGAAAATCTTTTAAAGTGCATAGTATGCACAACGCATACAACTCATATCTACACTTTGTGTGGGATGATTACATGTTCTATAAATACGCCGAGCGACGGAAACACAGAAAATTCATGGAAACAGAACCTTATCTTCGAACTAACATGAATTGTTTGAGTTTTTTTTTTAACTCCTCTCAAACATTGTTCCTTTGAGATGCATAAAATAAACAACAGTTCTTCAAAAAACGATGATCAAACGACTGAATATCCTAAAGATGAATAAATATGATAAATTTCGATAGAAATGCCAGTTTTATTTGCATTTTATTCGAACGCAAATATTTACAATTGCACTCATAGCTGAGTAAGCATTCCACTTGAATGCGAAATGTAAAAGCATAGAGGAAATCTCGAAATTATTTGTCTATGTGGGTCTCTTGATATGCTTGCCATATAATTCTATCGAAGTAACATGTTATGGAAAATATGTTCATTATTCAAGTACATTGTTAGCTTTTCATTATATAATTGTTCTGTTGTTATTAAGTTAAAAAAAATACAGAAGAGAATTGTTCTGCATCCACGTTGAATAAATAATTGAATTTTCTTTGAGAGAAAACACAAAAAAATCCTATTTAAGCTTTTTATTGACTGGTCTAAAGCAATCAAGACGCAAACTCAATTCTGAATTTAATCAGTTTGTTCAAGCTACAAAGTGGCACACAGATGCATTAATGCTGCTCAAAACGCCTACTTGGAAATTTCAGTTTTTACACAGAAAACAGCTTGGTTAAGGCTTTGTCCAAATAAAAAAAAATATTCTCAGCAAAATTACTTTATTTTTTATAGTTGAAAAGAGTTTTTCATATAGTTTTCATATCTCTGC